TTATTCAGTATGCTTCTCTCCTGATAATATTATATTAGCATCTAGTAGTAATAGTAAATCTATTTTATTATGGGGTGTTAACAAAGCTTATTTAAACCCCAAATTTTATGTTCATAGTGATCTAATTAATTCAGTATGTTTCTCTCCTGATGGTACTACATTAGCAACTGGTAGTTATGATACTTCTATCCGTTTATGGGATGTTAACACAGGATATTAAAAATTCAAATTAGAAAGTCATACCCAAGAAGTCAAATCTGTGTGCTTTTCTCCTGATGGGTCTAAATTAGCATCAGGTAATAAAGATTATTCTATCCGTTTATGGGATGTTAAGACAGGATAATAAAAAGCCAAATTAGATGGTCATAATGGTATAGTAAACTCAGTATGCTTTTCTCCTGATGGTATTACTTTAGCATCTGGTAGTAATGATACTTCTATCCGTTTATGGGATGTTAACACAGGATAATAAAAAGCCAAATTGGATGGTCATAATAGTATTGTGTACTCAGTATGTTTCTCTCCTAATGGTGGAATATAAAGACAGGAAAATAAAAAGCTAAATTGGATGGCCATAATAATTTGTCCAATCAATAAGTTTCTCTTCGGATGGTACATTATTAGCATCTGGTAGTAAAGATAACTATATCATTTTATGGGATGTAAAGACAGGATAATAAAAAGCAAAACTGATTGGTCACTAAAATTCTGTCCTATAAGTATGCTTTTCTCCTGATAGCACTACTCTAGCATCTTGTAGTAGTGATAGATATATCCGCTTATGGGATGTTAATACAGGATCATAAACAACAATATTGTACGGTCATTGTCAAAATGTCTTATCAATATGCTTTTCTCCAGATGGTAGTACACTAGCATCTGGTAGTGTGGATAAGTCTATACGATTGTGGAATAAAAAGGCTGGATAATAATATGCTTAATTGAATGGCCATACTAGTCATGTTAATTCAGTTTGTTTCTCTCATGATTGTTGTACATTAGCGTCAGGAAGTGATGATAACTCTGTTTGTTTATGGAATGTTAATACAGGATAAATAATAGGTAAATTTGATCGACATAAGAAGTGGGTTCATTCAGTATGCTTTTCTCCTGATAGCACTACTCTAGCATCTTGTAGTGGTGATAAATCTATCCGTTTATGGGATGTTAGAACAAGATCATAAAGAGCAAAATTGTGGGGTCATAGTAATTGGGTCAATTCAGTATGTTTCTCTCCTAATGGAACTATACTAGTGTCTGGTGGCGCAGATAATACTATCCGCTTATGGAATGTAATGACTGGATAATAAAAACGAAAATTCAAAGGCCACAATGGTTAAGTCCAATTAATTTGCTACTCGCCTGATGGAAATACGCTAGTATCTAATGGTCTTAATAACACCATCATTTTATGGGATATTAAGACAGGATTATAAAAAACGCAATTGCATGGTCATAATAAATTGGTCAGATCAGTTTGCTTTTCACCTGATGGTCATACATTAGCATCTGGTAGTGATGATTAGTCTATCCGATTATGGGATGTTATGACAGGATAATAAAAAGCAAAATAATGGTAATACCAATTGCATCAATTCAGTATGTTTTTCGCCTGACGGTGAATATTAGCATCCTGTAGTAGCGATAAGTCTATCCGTTTATGGGATGCAAAGAAAGGTTTATCAAAAGCAAAATTAGAAGGCCATAGTGGATTCGTCCTATCAGTATGCTTTTCACCTGATGGTGCTACATTAGCATCTTGCAGTGATGATAAATCTATCCGTTTATGGA